CCCCCCCCGTTACCCCCCCCCCCCCCCATTGTCCAAACTCTTGCAGCAGTGTATTTACAAGCAGTAAAAAAAGATATATATTTTGGTTTTACAGTTTTTCATATTTTAATACTTTTATTATTATGAAAGGGACATATCTGTATAAAATAATTTAATTCAGTTTATGGCTGATTATAAAAATTACTTAAGACAGTAAAGTGAGCCAGTAAACAGTACCAATCATATGAATGCTTAATGAAATGAGTGCACAGCAAAGAAAAGATTTTTTCACTTGAGGTGTAATGGAAAATATCTCTAGTCGACTGCTTGCAGATTCATGTATTATCTTAGGATCAAGAACCATAATAATGTCAAGTGCTAGATAATGGGGAGAGTGAATGAGGTATTACCTAAACCATTTATAAATTATTCATTCTCTTCAGTATTCTTGCACTTTAGTTTTCATTGCAACTAATGCATGGTATTAACATAACCTATCTGCTTAAAATTACAAATGTGTCTGTTATGTATTAGGTTTACACAAGATAGTTGTTACACCACAACATCAAACTTAAATACATAATATTTACTTTAATAACACTTCAGACAATCAGTCTTCTTTCTGCTTAACAGAGTTTACATTTAGTTGTCTAAAATTGTTTTAAAAAAATGTACTTAATTTTTTATTTAGCACTATTTTCTTCTAATCCATCTTTTATTTACTCAAACTTTCAGCACCATGGCAGATTCTATCAATTGTGACTTAAATTTTAAAAAAATAATCAGTATGAGTATACATAATGTATGGAAGAAAATATGAATCCTTAATCAGAATGTTGCTGTGGTTAAAGTTGATAATAATTTCCGATTATGCTACTGTATTTATGACTAGTCAATAGTTAGTTGTGATCACGTTTCTGGGTTCGAAGCTAAGAATAATCAGTTGTGGTCATGCTCCAAGACTTTAAAAATCTTGTCAATAATTAAATGTATATTGACTATTTTATAATGCAACACATACAAAATATTAAGGATATTTGTTTGTATTTAAGCACAAAACTACACAATGAACTATCTGTGCTATGTCCACCACAGGTATCAAAACCCAGTTTCTTGTGATATAAGTCTGCAGACATACTGCTGTGCACACTTGCATGAAATATAAGAACACCAGTGGTGTATCTTGTTATAAAAAAAATAATTAAAGCTGTGTACTATATACTTAACACAAATTGGTTTGCAAATAGCTTCATATTAAAGTGCTAGTGGCTATTCAATGCTGTAAAACTGCATTCTTAGTGGTACCAGTGAACTTCTATATTTCCAGATACGAGTATTTTCAGACAAGAGCAGGATTTTCTCATTCATATTACTATAACTTTTTTTGAAAACAAAATAAAAACAATGCATGCCTATGACATAATTATAATTTATTCTTATAAACCATATAACAAATGTTGCATAAGTTATTTAATCACAACAATATATTGGAAACCAACAAACTTTTTTTTTTAGACAATGAATAAAGAGAATATATAACATATTTTGGTGCATCACAAATGTATTTATTAATAAAGTATATTTTTTATTATACTTAATCAAAGAAAAAGGATAAAAATGACATTTTTGTTGTAATACAACAAATTCAGATATCATGTACACAAAATACTAATTATAGCAATTTTGACCAGCTTTTTTGCATCACAGAGCAAGATTCATAATCACCACACACAAAAGCAAAGCTGCTGCCAGTCACCTACAATATTCATTTTAAAATCAACCTGTATGTATCACTGTTACTTTTTGCAAATTAACGGTGACCATAGTAACTAAAATTAATGCTAGTTAGTGTTAAACAATTTCTTAATATTAACGGGTATATCCACACAACCTTCATAACCATTGTCTTCAATATTCTGCAATTTCTCTACATAATGTTGTGGTAGGTTGTGTTCAATAGCACCTTGGACCATGCAAGCTTTATATACTCTAGATGGTTTTCCGATTTCACCTGTCGCAGACTTAAGTTGGTAGGTTCGGCACTGAAGTATGTGGCCTTCATGGGTTACTATGGGAACCTGGCAGACATCATAACTTCCTTCTTGCCTAGGAAACAAGCTTGTGATGTTGATCATAACATATATTACAAAGTAATAAAAATTTTTTAAATAAATACATAGTTGCTTATATATATAAATATATATATATACACATATATACGAAAAGGAGTGAATGAGGTACTGGATATTTTCTAACCAAATACCAGCTTATTTAAATAAATAAACTGTCCATAGATGTAAAGATTGTTAGTTGAGAGCCTAACCATCAGGCCAGCTAGAAGTAAGGAGTACCTGACATATCTATAAAGCAGTATACTTCTCTTGTGCCAGATTATATGAAGTATTGGATACTTCTAAAGTAATGGAATGTGTAGTGCTTGACACAGTTTATCTTTCGACAGTGTTTTCTCAATCAGTTATATATATGCAATTCTTTGTACACAGTACATAATCACAACAGCAACAATTAGTTGCTCAAAAAAAAGAAAGTTTAAAATGCACACGTGAAGCAAAAAGATCAAACAAAAACTGGATTAGCATTATATAACATATTAGTCTTGTTTGACACACAAAACATTTTAATTTATGAAATACGTTTAAATTTGTAACTCAAAGAAATCCTGCAAGATAATTATATACCTTAAAGCAACTAGTACCGAGACAATAATGTTTGTTATAAAGATACATGTATCAGCAATTTTACACTATATATATATACAAAGTTATATATCCTGTTTCACAATGACAGAACCCAGTATTATTTTCGAAATGACATTCCTACAGTGATTCTTTTATCGTAAGAATGAAACTCATATTCTCTATATGTAAAAATTTGAAACCAGAATAGCTGATGCTGCATTTTCGTAACCGTAACAGTCATATTATATAATCTTTTTTCACTTAACTTGGCTTATCATTAGGCCAGCCTGAGACAAGAAAGGAATGTTTATTTATTACCTATCAAGATTATTCAATTCAGACAAAGGAATCTTCCACACAACTCCCCACACTTCACTTCTGTTGCTTTCAACAACTGATGCTGTTGCTCCTCTCCATTCAGGAGAATATCCAAAAAATTCTAATCTGTAATTCTGTACAAGCAAAAAGGTTATTAGTTTAGTTGGCTTTCATTGGTACCTTGCCAAACTTTTAACTATATTTTGAATAATTACAAAGATTTGGTTTTGTGAATTTATGATACATAAAAAAAAATCTCATTGTTCTATGATTTTAGTTTTTTTCATTGAAATTTTAACCACAATGCTTATTTTTTCATTTTCTTCTTCTTGCTTATCATATACTATAAATTAGGTTCTAAAATAATAGGTAACATTTATAACATGAGAAAAATGAAATAAAAGCTACTAAGACTAAATTCTGAAAGTAGTTTTTTAGAAAGTATTCATGACAGTAAATATTTAACATAACCAACATATAACAAGGGACCATTTGGTCCTAAAAGGCTGTTCTTGCATATCCACCTTTGGAAAAACAAAAAAATTAATCTCACCTATTACTTTCAAGAAATCAATTCCCCCTTTTAAAGTTCTATAAGTTGGTTGTTTGTTTGGTGCTTTATGGTGCAAGAGGCTATCTGCACCAAACAACCGGTAAAAACAGTGAAAGTAAATTAGAGTAAAATGTAAAAATACAGCGAGTTAAAAGCAAAATATGTTCAAAATTTGGAAAAAAGATTTATATACAATTAAAGAGACTAACATTGCATAAAATATTAAAAATACAATCTAGTCGGATGTGGCACCATCGCCAATGACACTATCCAACGTCAGGGGTAAACTCTTACAAATTATGTGTCTAAAATGGTGCTGCCACTCACAGTTGTAACGACGGCACGACAGTAAAATGTGGGCTATTGTGATTTGAGTGTCACAATGGCTACACATCAGTGGGTCAATACTAGATAAAAGAAAACAATGGGTTAAGAAACTGTGACCAATGCATAGCCTTGCGAGGACTACTTCCTCCTTCCGATCCTTACAGAAGCAAGATGGCCAAAGACCAACAGAAGGTTTGATCTGGAAAAGCTTGTTATGACGTTGCTCACCCCAAGTCGACTGCCAACTGGCACGAAGCCGTGCCTTGAAGACAGGACCGTAGTCCATGTACAGGACAGGCATGGCTGTGACAGCACCAGAGCAGACGGACTTAGCTGCGGTGTCAGTGAGCTCGTTCCCGTGAATACCGAAGTGGCCATGTATCCAGAAAAACTGGATAAAAACAGAATATAGAGAAAAATGTGCCAGTCATTGTTGAATATCGATGAGAACAGGGTGAGAACTAATGTTAAGCGATTCAAGGTCCAGTAGAGAGCAAAAAGAATCAGTGTAAATAGTACAATTACTGTACTGCATAGCTTCTACATGATCCAGGGCAAGAGAAAAAGCATATAACTTGGCAGTAAACACAGAAACTGTAGAGGGGATCCTGCGAGCAACTACCAAGCCACAGCACACTATGGCCGAACCTACAGAGTCACCCAATTTCGAACCCTCCGCGTAATTAGGAAGAGAAGAATGGCTCGAAAGATGTTCAGCAAAAAGAAGACGGTACTTCCAATCGGGAGTGTTCTCCCTTCCTCAGATGACTCAAGGAAAGGTCACAGGAAGGAATGGTAATAAGCCATGGTGGAATGGGCTGATCAGTGGGGACAGCAATGTCATCCAATGCCAGACCCAATTCAGCCATCTGTTCTGAAAGAGTATGGCCCACCAAGGAAGAAAGACACAATCCCTGGTAGGATGCCGTGGTAAGGATCGAACCTTGGTAGAATATTGTAAAAAAGTTGCAAACAACGGAGGTGAAGAGGAGGTTTGTGGGACTCAATGTACAAACTCTGGACCGGAGAAGTGCAAAAAGCCCCAGATGGTGAATGGGGTCCAGCATCTTGAAGGCCGAGGTCCTGGCAGAACCATAGACCAAAGACCCATAGTCCAGTTTGGATCGAATCAAGGCATGATAGATCCTTAGCATAGAACATTGATCTGCTCACCAAGACCTGGAAGGGAGGACACGGAGGATGTTCAGAGCCCTTGCACACTTGTCAAGTATCTGCTTGATGTGCGGAATGAAGCTAAGCTTACAGTCAAAGATAAGCCCAAGAACTTTGCCTTGAGAACCACACAATTAACTATATATTAACTATAACTTTAAATACAATATACCATATCTTTTACTTTTAGGACTATTTATTGGAGACTATCTTCATTTAAACAAAAACTTGAATGAGCCAAAACTTACTTGTAATTTCCCTATAGTATGGTGACATGCTTTTGGATTATTAATCTGTATACGCTGAGTAAACAAATTACTTCCAAATGCAAAGTATAGAATCTGGCTTCCATTGCTATCACTATCAGTAACTTTTATCTGTGAAAGATCGGGTGGGAGCCCTCTTCCAGAACTGTTAGTCATCATTTTAATCTTCCTGACTATGAAAATACACGTACATATA